GTTCTCAAACATCCATAGGGACAGGCAGGATATCACAATGAGACGCTTGGATCCGTTTGACGAGGCGGCCCCCACAGCCTGTTCTGCAGCGGGTATGCTTTAGTATGCGAACTTGTACTACGCGGACATCCTCATGACCAGACGCCCGAACGAAGATGTAAACAGAAACCTGTCGCTACAGTCAGACATGTGGACAGACACCACGGTGAAGCTCAACACAACAGTTGTGTTGGACTTGGACAGACCAGTCACCCTCAAAGAGCTCACTCAAACGGTGAAATCAATGGCGAAAGGGAAATCCCCTGGGGTTGACGGGCTAACTGTGGAGTTTTACGTCACAAACTGGGAGGTTCTCGGCCCACTACTGGTAGAACTATATAATGAGGTGCTGGTAGGGGGGAAACTGGGTAAAAGGATGGCGCACATAGTTATCACGGTCTTGTTAGAGAAGGGTGACAAATCGGACGTCAGGAACTGGCGCCCGATCTCCCTCTTGAACGTCTCATACAAGATTTTAGCGAAATCCCTTGCGCGCAGATTGTCTAAGTACCTACCCGAGTTGGTAGAAAGGGATCAGGGGGCGTTTATACAGGGCAGATCGATCTTCAGCAACATAGTCACCGCCATCGAGACACTGGAAATTGTTCAGACGGAAGGGTTGGATATGGATGTTCTCCTGTTGAATCTGGAAAAAGCCTATGACAAGGTAGGCTGGACTTTCACTCAGACTACCCTCAAGAGGATGGGTTTTGGGACCAGTTTCTGCTCATGGATCAAGGCAATGTACACCTTTTCCTCATAGGCAGTCTTGATCAACGGTCACCTCTCACCCCCCTTTGAGCTCTCGCGGTCATTGAGACAGGTTTGCCCGCTCGCTCCGCTGGTGTTCGTGCTGCAGCTGGAAGTACTGCTGAACTGGATTAGAAGGAGTCCGGACATCCGAGGACTGCAGTTGCACAGGGAGGAGGAATGCAGGGTGAAGGCGCTGGCGGACGACCTCTTTGCAGTGAGTGAAAACATTGTTACCTCCCTCTCGGCGATGAAAGGAGTTCTTATGGAGTATTCGACGCTCTCGAAAGCCTCAGTTAATTGGAAAAAATCCACCTACCTGTTGCCAATCCAGTTCTCGCTCAAGGTGGAATGGGGGATGAAACGAGTGGAGCAGGGGGAAGAGGAGAGGTTCCTTTGAGTGCTGGTAAGCCTCCAAGTACAAATGTCGATACTAGGCTCACTGCTGTAGCAGCTTATTGCGGCAAGACTCGGGCCGTGGGGAACGGCGTGGCATTTGTCACTGGTAGGGAGGGCCCTGGTGGCTAACGTGACTCTGTTTTTTATCCTGTGGTTCGTTACCGCGGTAAGGGAAGTGGCGGCGGGTGTGGTAAAAGTGATCAGGAGGTTAGTGGTGAGGTTCTTGTGGAAACCGAGGGTTCAGTCAGCGGAGGGCTTTATCTCCAAAGTGGCCTTCGACACGTTAACTTTCCCAAGGGCAAAGGGGGGTCTGGGTCTGGTTGACCCAGCCCGCAAGAACCAGGCGCAGCTGCGGGGTTGGATAGCCAAAGTGGCCAATTTGAGCATCCGGGACCAGTGGATAGTTTTAGCGGAACGGATCCTGATGAATGAATGGGGTTTGAGCAGACCAAAGAACGTGTGGGCCTGTTTTTTCTTACCGTACTTCAGGAAGAGGAAACTCAAGTCAAGTTTCATGGAAACGATCCGGAAGGCCTGGAAGCAACACCCGCCGGACACCCAACGACCGCCAAGCACAAGGGATGAGGTTCTTGACTAGTTAATATTCGAAAACACAGCAGTTTTGGACCAGTCAGGCGGCATGTTGTTAGCTGATGGCTCCCGGGGTTCATTCGGTCGAGCATGGGTCCAACGAGGCATCGTAAAGCTGGAGGATCTGTGGTTGAGAAACCTGGGCAGCTGGAAACCCATATCTGAAGTTAAGGAAACACTGAGAGGTCTCCAAAGAGTAGAAGAACACTGGAAAACGGTGATCAACGCTGTCCCGTTGGAATGGTCAGATATGCTAGGTTCGGAGGGGGTAGACCCAGTGGGGACATGGTATATATCGAGTTCGGAGGCTCAGGGCGGTGTCTTATGGAAGGTGAAAGAAGTCCTCCCTAGCGGTTTCAGGAGGATAGAAAGATGGAGAAGGGAAGGTCCCTCCAACAACCTGGAAAGGCTAGAAGAGGCGACAGTGAGAGTCTGGGACAACCCAGCTCAGGTTAGAGTAGTGGAGAAAAGGAGGCGCCCACAGGCAGGATAAGCTCCGGTCTGGGTGGGTGGTGCCCCGCTGTGCCAACTAAGCATAGACCCCATTGCGTGGAGTTGGTCGCCCACTACAGATGAGGATTCGCTCCTGAGTCTGTTCGATTACACAGCTTCTCAAGGATACCAGCGGTTGGTCCCCAGCTGTAAGGACCCATCCCAGATTGCGGTATGCAGATGGCAGGCAGAATGGACAGAAGACCTGTCGCAGGCAGGACCCGACTTTGAGAAGCTGTGGGTAACCCTCATAGCTCTTCCGAATGGAAAACAGGTTAGCCTACTGTGGATGTTGTCCTTGCTAGTCACCCCTTCAGCAGTCTGGCTAAGGAGCAGAGGAATGGAAGTAGACCTGGGCTGTTCGAGGTGCAGATGGCCATTCGAATCCACCAGACATCTGTGGTGGGAGTGCCCAGCGTCCAAATGAGTGTGGAAATGGTGGTTACACCACTGGACGAAATTTGGAGATCAGTCGGTAATATGGGATGAGAGATGGGTGCTGTTGGGTTTCCTTCCGGTTGGGATGAAAGGACACAGAGGATGGGGCTGCGAAGTGATCTGGAAGGATAGAAACATAGCACGTTTCCAGAGAAAACCACTGTCGGATAGGGAAACGAAGTGCCTTATCAAGCAGGGGCTTAAACAGACCATCTGGGTGGACTGGAGGCGGAAAGCCAAAGGGGGCAAAGGGTCCAGAAGACAACTGAGGTGGTTCACAAGTACTTGGGCAAAAAATCAGAAGCTGGCAGCCGTCCATGCAAGTAAGGGTTTGGTCATCTCTCGCTGGGTACAGGAAATAGACAATCCGGCGGAATGACGAGTAGACTAGACGGAATAGGGTAGTCGGGAGGTGCGGCACTCACCAGGGCACTCGGTGGGATAGGGTCACGGTAGGCCGGTATCAGAAGTAGAGTGCCAAGGGTAGAGTAGGACCGGGCCCAGGTCCTCTGGGCCGTGATAGTCCCAGGATCCAGGTTAGTAAGAGGAAGCTTTCAGTTTCACAAGATCATCTGCATTGGACAACGAATTATGTAAGCCTAAGTAATTCAGACGGCTCGCATGCGCAAGACAGGTAAGGAAATCGATTATTGGTTAGATCAGTTATGAAGCAGGACTTGGAACTCAGTAACCTCGGGTTCTGCAGGCTACCGCCTGTAAGCTAAGCTGGCTGATACTGTCAGTACTCCGGGTCGAATTGTGAGGTCCCCGGCCTCTATTGAACTTTAAGAGTCATTTAAAAAAAAAGAAAAAAAAAAGAAAAAAAAAAAAGAAAAGAAATAGGATTTTGCGGGGACCTCTGGAGGTCCCCGCAAAATATGTAAGCCCGCGGCTGTCCAAGCCGCTGACATTTACGTGCCCTTTTGTGTGAACATGCAAAATACGTGCCTCTTGTGACCCGAAAAACTACATAAAATTTGTGATTTTGCGAAAATACTTGGTAGTGTGAGTGTGCCCTCAATGTGAGGGAGCAACTCTAGCTTTTCTAGAGTCTAGAGCTAGTGCAGCTATGCGTTGATTTTAGGACTTTTCGTGACTCTGACAGCTCTAGAATGACTCTAGAAATTATCACCAGTCTAGAGTAGTGCAGCGAGCCCCTACATCCTGGAACTGGGTAGCGCCGCAGGCAAATGCCTGTAAGCTAAGCTGCTGGCTGATGCTGTCAGATACCCCGGGGCAAGGTCCCACTTGCACGGATTACGAGATTCTGACCGTTGATCTGTGCTATCTACGGTTAATATCTCGTAGTTCGTGTAAGTGGGACCTAACCCCCCGGTCGAATTGTGAGGTCCCCGGGCTCGAATCGTAATCGTATTTTGCAATGATTCAATTGAGCTGTTTGGAAAAAAAAAGGCAAAGAAATAAAGAATTGCTGCCAATCATTTCGTTGTTTGGGTCTCGGGGGGCAACGAGCCCGCCCTGCTCCAGGCCGATATGATTCGACCGTGCCGCGTGGCACGGTCCTGGTGCCACGTCAGCAAACATTCTCTTTCATTTCAGTCTGCCAGACCGGCTGGCGCGCGGCGCGGGATTTTGTCACCCGCCGCCACGTCGGCAAGCAGGCCCTTCAATCTGCCACACCCGGTTGATTGGTCGTATCTCGGTCGGCGGGGACATTTTTTAACGTGAAGTGTGCTCTGTGCGACGGCCACGTGTCGATCGGAAAACCCTCTCTAGCTGATGCCATGCAATCGTGCCTGATATGATCTCATAATCGGCGGGTGGTGATAGGTCCTTTTTTTTTCTTTTCTTTTTTTCTTTTTTTTCGGTGAGAGTGTTCATTCCGTTCGCTTCCGGTTCAGTACAAGGGCTGAGTTGTTATCGCGCTCTCCTCCGTCTTCCCCATCTTTTCCATAACGCCATCTACGACCTTCTTGTTTTACAGCTTGGCGCGCTGCTGTGTTTCATTGATCATGAACAGAAGGCATCGGTGTTATGCTTATCCTACCGGCTTACTTGAGGAGGCATCTGGGGGAACAAAGAGCGGGAGAAGGGGGGAACAGGGGTTGGGTTGGAGGGGAGGAAGGAGATTTTAGGTGAGCGAGAGGTGGTGCTCTTCGTCTACCCATGATTGACAGAGGAGGAGCCCTGCTGCCGCGATGGCGGCCATTATTTCTGCGAGGTGGTCAGCGCATCAACGGCCCAGTGTCTTCTTCGTTGATTACCGCAGAGTGATCTGACGGGGGTTAGCTGAGAGTCCGGATAAATCAGGAAATCGGGAGTGTTAAGAGCCCGAAACCGGCCGGGGACAAACGTACTTGTCCTTTTGTCTTTTCTCGGTATCTAATAAAGGAACTGATGAGCATCAGCGTGTCTTCTCAAAATGGCGGCTGTTGGTAGTGCGGCGCGAACAGACCACAGTACCTGGCTGGAGAGACCGGCGTACGAGAGATGGCTCGTCAGACTTGAGGAGGATCCGAGTAGGGAGGTGATTCTCCAGGCGACGAATTGGGCGCTGAATGCTTTGGCGACCATTACTACGGGGATGGGGGGGAGCGCTGGGATGGGGGGAGCTGAGATTGTGGGGGGGGCTGAGCTGCAGGAGGGTGTTTCCCGGGTTGCTCGAGAGAAGCGAACGGCACAAGGGGAAGTCGGGATCCGAGCTGGAAAAAGACGGATGGTGCAAGGGGAAGTCGGAATCGGGGCGGGAGAGAAGCGAACGACGAAGGGGGAAACCGCCGGGCTCGAGGCTGGAGAGAAACGCCAAACGATGGAAGGGGAAATCGGGATCGGGGCTGGAGAGAAACGCCAAACGATGGAAGGAGAAATCGGGATCGGGGCTGGAGAGAAACGCCAAACGATGGAAGGGGAAGGGGAAGTCGGGGTCGGCGCTGGAGAAGGGGAGATCGGGATCGGGGTGGGAGAGAGAGAAGGGGAAATGGAGGTGGGCCCGGGAGAGGAACGGACGAGGCAAGCGGAAGTCGGGATCGCGCCCGGAGAGACACGAAGGATGATGCAAGGGGAAGTTGGGATCGCGGCCGGAGAGAAAGGAACGATGCAAGGGGAGGTTGGGATCCCGGCCGGAGAGAAACGAACGATGCAAGGGGGGGAAGTTGGGATCGCGGCCGGAGAGGAGGGAACGATGCAATGGGAAATGGGCCCTGGGGTAGTTCCTCCTCCGCCATCCATGGTCCGTCCTGTCACGACGACAGAGGAGTCGGAGTCTCCGATTCGCTGGGGAACAACACCGGCGGCGGCTGTGCAAAGCTTCTTCAATGAAGAAGCGGCGGCGGCGGTGACGGTGGTACGTGCTCCTCCTCCTGGTGGGACGTCGTACGGGCAGGTGGCACACGTGGCGGCTGAGGGAGCAGCAGATGGTACTGGAGACCTCAGGACGATGGCATGCGACCCCGCGCTTTTGTCGCCGGGATCGGGATTGCCGGTTCCTCCTCCTCCTCTTCTTGAACCACGAGCTGGTCTCACCGCACCAGAAGAAGGAGCAGCAGTAGCGCATCGAGAACGGGACCCGCCAATCCCGATCCCTGCGGGGTTGGATATGGTGGTGGTGAGTCAAGGGGGGGGGCTGCTGGGAGGACGGGTAGGCGGATTGGGATCGCAATCAGTGACAACGGATTGGCCATTGCAATGTGAGGGCGGGGCAGTCTCTTCAGGTACGTTAAGGACGAAGGATGACGGCGAGAGAACTCCTGCTGCAGGATCTGATGCGCCACCCCCTCCCGGAGTTTTCCCCGTCGTCTTCCCCGGTCTGTCGTCTGGCGTTACTTCAACTCCTTCAGCTCCTTCAGCTCCTTCAGCTCCTTCTTCTGCTCGTAATGATGATGCCTCTGCTTCCGATGGGTGTATCGGTGCGCCGGTGGAGGGGTTGCTGCCTGAGGCTGGAGGTCGTGGAGAACCAGCACAGGGATTGGATGATGACATGGACGTTGTCGATGGAGCGCAGATCGGTGCTGCTGACTTGACATCATCATCGGACCGTTTGGATCAGAGCCATCCGACGGCGATGATGACGGGAGGAAGATTCTGCGAAGACGAAGAGAAGTTGGTGTCGCCAAAGACGGCTAGTCCCGCCGCTACGGAAGAGTCGGCGGAATTTGCGACTAGTAGGGAAGCAGGAGCAGGATACGGCGTTGCGCTTCTTGCGAGGCTAGAGGAACTCGACAGGGGCAGGGCTGGCGATGTCCTGGAAGAACAGATCTCCCTATTTCTTGATGACAATCGGATACACTCCTTGGTGGCACTTATATGTCGCTGTACCTTATACAGCTTTGATGTTGTTGTAGGGTCGTCGTCGTCGTCGTCGTCGTTGTCTAACGGCGGCGGCCTGAATGGGAAGAGGGAGGGGGAGGGGGAGGGGGAGGCGGAGGGGTTACATCATCGGGGGACGGAAGGGCATCGTTGTCGATTTCGAGCGGGAGAAGGGACTGAAAAAACCGGTCATAGTTGTTATGACGGGGAAAATGCTGCGCCGCTTTCTTCAGCCGGAGAGGCGGTTGATGAAGGTGGAGGTGGGGATGGGGGAGAAAGAGGTGGTGGAGGAGGAGGAGGAGGAGGAGGAGGAGGAGGAGGAGGAGGAAGTGGTGGACGTTGGGAGGAAGACGAGAGCTGTTCCTGGCTTCTTGAGCTGTTAGTAAAAAAGGCGGGAAGAAGTGCTTGCGCTGGTCGGGTATCAAAAGTCTCGGCTATGGCAGGGGATAGCAGCGATGAATCTGCTGATGATGAGCTGGATGGCGATGGCGCCAGCAAGAGCGTGGTTGCCGGGGTGCCTGAGTGGCTCATCGGCTATCTGTCAATAACTTATCTCAGAGAAGTTGTTCATGCTTTGCTGGACGATATGCAAGATCGACTAGGAGCAGGGAGAGGGAGTCGCGAGGGAGGGGGCGGGGGAGGGGGAGGGGGCGGGGGAGGGGTGAATCGAGAAAGAGATAGCGTGCCGTTTATGGAAAGATTGGTGTTAGTGTCGACGATTCTGGAATTTTGTGCTCAGCACGATCCAGAGCGTCTGGCGGGCGTCTTGTTGGAAAGATTGCTGCGGCTTTCAGAATCAGAAGGAGAGGGTAGGAGCGAGGTGGGCAGATGGGGACGGACTGGCGAGAAGTGTAGTGATGATTATGATTACCCTGCTGTTTCGTGGATGGATTGGCTTTTTGGACCTGTGGCGGCCGTGTTGGCGCTGTGCCCAGTTCTCATCAGGGAGGTGATTCCTCTCTTGATGCCGATGGTTTTGAAGAGAATTCCTGTGTGGCTGTCGAAGCTCGACGAAGAAGACCAGCGGCATGGTAATCAAAACACCCCCTCTCTATCTGAACATTGTAGGGGGTCGTGTAGGGTTAATTCCGGGGTAGAGAGGGGTGTTGTTGGGGGTGTATTCTCAAGCCTAGTATTTCCTCCCCCGAGTATCTTTGGGGCTCGATCTTTGCTGAGATCGGCGGGCTCCTCGTCTCTTGCCGCCGCGTCTTGTTCCTTTGTTGATGATGATGGAACATGTCCTGGAGCTCAGCAAAGGCCGCAAGCAGCTGATGTCAACCGAAAAGAGGATCCCGATCCCGATCGTCCTGAATCTAGTCGCCGCCGTTGCTTGGATGCTTATGTGCAATGGTCGGTCGTTCTACTTCACAGAAGACTTGGAGACCTCGTCGCTGTCGCGTCGTCTCTAGTGAGTTTCTTGCACGATTTAGCTGAGCGTTTGCCGTGTCGTAATGGTCGTCGTAGAAGTGATTGTAATCGTCCTCATCGTCGTTGTAGCTGTGACTGTGATGAAGCTTCCGTGATTTGTCGAACCATATTGAATTGGCTAGTTGTGGAGCTGGCAGGGAGAGTCATACCCACTCTCCTCGGTACCCTTGGGGAGAAGCGCCGCCGCAGGGCGGGGTCCCGATCCTCCTCCTCTGGGCAGGTCCCGCCGACCAGCGGTGATCGTCATTTGCCCGAAGAGAACGCTTGCGATCGCATGGAGCCTGCAGACAATGGTGGTCTCTCGCCGCCGACACCTCCCAGCAGTAGCAGCAGATGCGCGAGACCTGAATCGGCTGACAGATCTTGCCGTACGACTCCCCCGATCGCTGACTTCTTCGCTGCAGATTCTTCGGTGGGGACGGCGATGGCGGCTGCCACGATGGGTAGAGAAAGGCAGGCGATGGCCGATGGCATGGCGTTTCTGAAGCACCTGAGAGCGCATGCGGTGAGTCTGTGGTTGAAGCTCTTGAGAGGCAAGAAAGGGACAGACGAAGGAGAGGGCAAGGGTATGATGATGCTGATCAGTGATGCGCAAGGGAGGAGGGAGGAGGAGAAGAAGGGGTCCTCTGCCGCCGCCGCCGCCGCCGCCCCCACACATGAAGCGGCGGGGCTCAAACTGGGTGGTGATGGTTCTTTGCACCGCACGGCCATTGGCCGGGATACCGATCTCCCTCTGCTTCGTCTCTTGGAACTTGTGGTGATTTCAAGTCCGGATGAGGTAGCTGCCGAGTTGATTGCTGAGGCAACCAGAGCAAAGGAAGAGGGGGATGACGTGGGAGAAGAGTTGTGGCGGGAAAGCGGTGGGGAGGGGAACCTCTGGTACGCGAGGCGGATACTCCAAGTTGTCGTTGTGTGGGGAAAGGGGGACTCTGTGGTCGACTTATGGTCTCAGAAGATGGTCACACTGCTTGCTCTTGCCAGCCATGACGATGCGCTGTCTAGACTCAAAGCCATTTCTCAGCTCTTACAGCCTTATCCTTCCTGGATGGATGAGAAGCAGAAGATGCAGATCCACTCTGGATCTGGAGGGCGCTCAGAGAGCCATCAACTCCCTCTCCCTGCGCCTACTTCTCATGGGGATCAATTAAGAGGAAGGTGGTGGGAAGGGGAGAATGGCATTGACGAGGAGCAGAGGAGTTGTAGCTGGAGTGTTGTTAGCAAGCTTCTTCATGAAGGGCTGGATAGGTATTGGAGCAATTTGCTGGCGCTGTTGCATCGGGATAGCTGGCCTCTTCGTGTCGCGACCGCGACGCTCATCCAGTCTCTCTCGGTCTGTCTTCATCCCCGGCCTCAGGTGGTTGCTTGTCGTATCTATCGCGCTCTAGGGATCTTTTTCCAGTGGCTTGACGACATTGCCCCCTCTCCTTCCGCCTTGTCCTCGACTACTAGGGTTATCCTCCCTCCTCCTCCCCTTCAGAAGAAGAACGCTGGCTTCCGCGCCTCCGCGGCTGCAGCTCCCTCCGCTGCCGCCGCCGCCGCCGCCGCCGCAACGAAAATCAGGCCGCCTCCGCAAGACAAGGACGGAAGCCATGCTTATTATGCTCCTACTGGCGATGACGACAAGTTTTGGCTGATTCAAGCGCTGGAGCAATTGAAGAGAGTGATCGTTCGATTGGCAAGCACGTGCTCTGATGCGTTCATGCTGACCGTCAATCAAATCCTTGATTACTCGTTCGATCGGTGCTCGCGCAAGGACGGTGGGGGTGTCTCGTCGGTAGTGGAGGCGTCTCAAGGGCAGCAGGAGAGCAAGATCGGCTTCCGCCACCAGAAGGCGCCGACGGCATTGGTAGGAGGAGGAGGAGGAGGAGGAGGAGGAGGAGGAGGAGGGGGAGCAGTCTCTCTGCGCGCGCTCTGCGCAGCTCGCCTGGATCGGTATGGCTGCGCCTCCATCCTCCCGCGCTATACGCCGAGAGAAAGCTACTCCTCTCCCAAGGAGAAGATTCTGCTCGAGAACCGCAAGCGAAAACTTGGCGCCATTTTCTCTCTGGATGCGTACGAGGGGCGAATGTCTGGTCGGACATCGCGAATGCGGTACTTTGTGCGGCAGGGCCCATCTTCGGGATCCGAGCAAGCCTCCGCAGAGGAGGAAGACAGGGTTCTGAAGCTGCGACAGGCAGACGTTCAGGTCACTTTGCACCTGGTCGATCTTCTCCGGCATAGTTTACAGGAGGCCAATAGAGTGCTGCTGAAACACCAGGAACAAGAGCAGCAGCAGCAGCAGCAGCAACAACAACAGCAGCAGCAGCAGCAGCAGCAGCCGCAGCAAGCCCAACATCAGCCCGTGCCATCCTCGCTCGCCACTGGAAGCTGGGCTTGGCCTGTCCCTCCCATCCGTACGATGTGCACACTTGTCATCGATCGACTGCATATGCCCCACGAAGCGCCAATGACCGCTCCCCAGTATCAGGACATACTGCCGAGGCGCGTGTCATCTGCCCGACACCTGTTCCTCGCAGAGGCGTTCAATCAGAACCCGCTCTTGCTGGAGCTACTGCAGGTGCTAGCGGAAGAGGCGCCTTCGCGGGAGCTGCTGCAGTTACAAGAGTTCGTTAGGGTTTTGCTCGCCGATGCCATCAGCAAATGGTATCATGCGGTAAGGTCGAGGAGGGTGCCGTCGAGAGCACTGGGAAGCGACAACGACACCGCAGAGCGAATGTACGCTTGCCGCCTGATACGCATCATCTCCTTGGCGGGATGGCTACCACGGCCCTTGACATCGTGTGTGGAGATCATTCCTTTGCTCGATGCCACAGACATGCCTGATCTTCTTCTGCTCGTCTGGCGCTGCGCCCACCATGCCATCTTGTTCGGTGAGAAAACGTGGTTGTCAGCAGCGTATCCGCCCGCTTCTTACACGCTGGGGCCGTTTGTGAACGTCGGTATGAGCAGCAGCGATAACGGGCTGGGTTCATCAGGAAATGCGGGGAATTCAGTTGCTCCAGGCAGGGGAGGAGGAGGGGGAGGAGGAGGAGGAGGAGGAGGAGTGGGGGGAGGAGGAGGAGGAGGTGGAGGTGGCTTCGACATGCAGAATATGCAAGGATTGATTGCAGGGGCCAACTTCAGCAGCACAGATGCAGAGGCGTATATGGATAACGAGTGGGAGGGGCACCTTTTTGCCATTCTTCGTCGAAACATCAGTCGCATCGGCTTCCATTTCGCCTCCATCTTTCCCCCAAGAACTGTAATGACATAAGAAAAGCAAAAGAAGATGAACTTGAATGACCTGATTATGATACCTTCATCATCTGGTGTCAAGCCCGCCATCATTGGATTAACCAATCAGTCAGCAAACATCAATCAATTCAATCAATTCAATCAATCAATCAATCAATCAATTCAATCAATCAATCAATCAATCAATCAATCAATTCGGCTGAGCAGGCATCGGGCATCATATGGACGTGAAGGGAAGGGTTTTGCGGCATTTGCCGATTCTATCTGCTGTGGGGAAAGAAGAGCATAGGGCAGGTAGGTTCTATTGCTGCTATTCCGCACAGGATGGCTAGCCTGCCAGCTGGGGCCATGGTAGGGGCCTGACCTGTCGGTGGGGCTGCCAGACACGACCCTCGAAAGCTGTTCTCCGTTGATCATATCTCACGGTAGAGGCAACAGCTTCCATGACCGTCTCAGATGCAGTTTGCGTGGAGAGAGTGAGGGGGTATTATTGTGTGGTGGCTGCAGGCAGGTAGGGAAAGGAGACAGGAGGGGTTCCATGGATACGCTGTCACCCCCCGAGCGAAATTCGGCACCCATTGAATTGATGATCTTATCTGACCCTTGCGGAACAGCCCCTCAGTAGCGGAAGAGCATGACAGGCTTGCTCGTGCTGTCCTTGCGCTCATGACCACCAGCATGCTATCTTCACCATGATGATGATTGATGATGATTGATGATGATTGATGATGATGATGATGATGATTGATGATGATGATGATGATCATCATCATCATAGACTTGAGGGTCCTGGAAAAAAGGTGGATTGAAAGAGCTAAGGGTTGAGGAAGATGTGGAGGATGGAGGGGATGTAGATGGCCATCCTAGAGTGACCTCTGATGGGCACCAAAATGATTATGTTGGGTTGTATCGGTGGCGTTGCATGCACTGCCAGATTGATGGGTTGATCGTGATAAAAGGGCACTGAAGCTGCATCAGAAGACGCTTAGCATCGGACACGTGTCTAGTCAATCATGCGTGTGAAGAGTCTGCATGCCCCAGAGCCGTCGAACATTGCACACACGTGTCCAACCAATCAAGCTGTGGTTCAGAATGACAAAGAGCTGTGGTTGTGTGTGCAGCATCGAAAAGACGCAGCCAGCGATGGATCGTTTCAAAGGCTGCTGTGCTTCTTGGGGCCTAACGAGAGGAACTGGCAAATGCATCTTCTTCACTCACTCCGAAGGTGGCAGAATACATCTGTTTCTATTCATAGTAGCGGATGTGCTTTGCCATTTTCTGTTTGACGATGTGTTCGTCTCTTTTCTCGTGTTTTTGGTGAGCACTGTGATGAGGCCTGTCGGCCCTGTCGGCCATCGAGAAGATGGAGTCGGATGCTGCGAGGACATCTAGAAGCCAAAAGCTCTGCAATTTTTGCAACAGGTGCGTTTTTCATCCTTTTATCCTCCCCTGCTCGTTGTGATCAGGAAGAACGTGGTAATTTCCAAAAAAGACTTATTCTGTTGAGTCTGGAATGAAGAACGTGCTAATTTCCAAAAAAGGCATTTCTGTTGGGTCTGGAATGCTGGAATGCGTCGGGAAGTGTGTCCTTCAAGACATCTAATACACGGATCGACAAAGGATACGGGGCCTTGCCACACGGCACACAGAACGGAAACAAAAACGAAGCATCTGCCCACGAAAGGTGGCAAAATACCGTCGTTACTATGTATAGCGAACCGATGAACCTGTCTATCTTCTGTGGGAAGATGCATTCGTTTCGTTTTTCGTGGCAAAATACAGTCGTTACTATTTATAGCAAACCGATGAAACGAGTGCATCTGCCCACGAAAGGTGGCAAAATAGAGTCCTTACTATTTATACCACACCGATGAACCTCTCCATTTTCTGTGGGAAGATGCATTCTCTTCGGTTTTCATGGCAAAATACACCCGTTGCTATTTATAGCAAACTGATGAACCTGTCCATTTTCCGTGGGAAAATGCATTCGTTTTGTTTTTTGTTTCGTGCTCAGTGCGTAGATGCCCTAGGGAGAGGATAGATTAGCATGGCGCCAGGTGAAAGGCTGCCACACACAGATCAAGGAAGTGATGATCTCAAACTAAAGGGTTGAGGGGAAAAAAAAAAGAAAAAAGAAAGAGAGCCCTCAGCGAAATCGTCGAAATGTACATTTGCTTGTATTCTTTGCAAGCAGCTTCGCCATCACTGGGGCTATGCTGTTCCTTCTGTCCTCTACGGTGATGCACCTGGTAATGAACAGACTGAGATTTCAAATCCTGATTGATTCATTAATGTTATGAGCTACCCCCCTTGCACCTCCCCCCCCCCNCCCCCTCCCCTCCCTCCTCCCCCCCTCCTTAATTAGAAAAGAAAGATATATCACCTCCTCCTGAGGAGTCAAGGAGATTCATCATTTATCAACTGCACCTCTGAGAGTCCGGGATGGATGATTCCCTGCACTGATTGCCCTGTTGGCCACCGACAGTTCATCGCTTACCTACAGAGCAAGATGCGAAGTCTGCGACTTGCTCGAAGTAAGTAATGGGGACCCCGAAGAAGTGGGAGTTCCCTAAAGAAGTATGACGGACCCAAAAAAATGAGACACTGGATGGGAACATTACCTGGGCGAATTGCCAAATCGATGGCCCAGTTTGAAGTAAAGTGCTTTGCAGTATGGCTGCAGCAAACGCTTGTCTTGAGAGTGCCGCCTGATTTCCTAAGCCGTTCCACTCCAACTCGATGTCCTCCTTTGTCTAGAGGCAGAAGGCACTAAGTAGTGTTTTGAGAAGGGGGGAGGGGGGGAGGGGGGGAAGGGGGGGAGGTGGAGGGGCTCCTCTATTAAGCTCTGGCAGGTTCCGAGATGGTGGTCCCCACGGAACAGTCTTTGGCATCAGTCTCGAACCGCTCTCTCTCGCTGCGTTGTGCTTGTCCAGGTGAGAGGGCCTTGAGAGCATCAGCTTCACTTCTCTGCATGCACTGCAGATGCACCTGGTCCACCTCATGGCCTTTCCTCGGGCCTCTTCTGTGACCAGTGGGAACTGTGGGACTATGGTGTGATGTTCTATGCATAATTCCTGTTGACTAGTTTCTTCACAATCATACTCGTCTCCTGCCAGAGAAAAGAGACCATCTGCGCGTCCTACTTGTTTGTGTTGCGGCGGATCACTTGTCTACCTCTGTGGCATAGCACGTGGAAGCTTGTCGCTGCTCTCTGACCGTCACTTCTGTGACGACACAGGCACTACCTACTGCTTCTCCTCACTGTGAACTCCATCTTAATCTTACCGGGCGAACGAGTCCTCGGTCGACCATGTCTTTCCTACCCCTGGCCAGAAAGGCCACTTTGTCTCTATGGATGTTACACTGGCTGCATGCGCATCTGCTACCCGCGTCGCTCTTTCGTCCTGCCCTGTCTCTGCATGCAATCAACATGCTCTGACTTGCCTGCAATCAACATGCTACTTGTCGGGACTGCTTTGTGGGTATGGTAAATGCCATCCAGCTTCCAGTCACAGTGTTGCATTTAGAACTCGCTATCTTTCTTGTGCTGATCTGGTTCCATTTGGATTCGAACTCAGGTCTATTTATGGGTGTACCTTTTGAGGCATCTGTTACACTCCTGAACAGTGTTCAGCTGCGGAGATGATGGCGTCAACCGCCCAGGAATGCACAGGGCTCTCGCCATCTCACAGGAGAAATCACATACACTCCCACCGTCGGTACGTGCTCCACACTTCCAGAATTCGGTCACCATACAGAGAGAGAGAGAGAGATACCAAGAGACTAGTGGCGCGAGCAAGGCGGGGTAAGTTGACATGGATCATGAGTCCTTACACCCTCCATCGCCAGTGACCGTAAGCTCGTAACTCTCTCGCTCGAGAAGGTGAGTCTCCCACCAGTTATGCACGTCCCTCCCGGATGCTTCACGCCTCCGTGTCCTCACTTCGGTACAACCTGCATGTCATCAGCGCTACTCATCATTGCCGCGGTACATCTCCCGTCATTTACTGTAGTAGCCCATCTCCAAGGGGTGTCAGGCTGTCAGCTGATACCCGAGGGATCTGTTACCCGAGGGATCGCTGAACTGCAATGAGGCTGGCTGGTACTGGTATGACGCCTGCGCAACTGTAGCTATCTTTTCCCCCTCTTGTCCCCTTATTTAGAGAACCAGCAAGTGAAAGAACAGAAACGTGTCACGATGGAAGAGCGCTCATTGAAGACCAGACATGAGTAAGCCTAGTTGAAAGCCAAATGACAAAGCGGAAAGCACACCAATCGAAGATCACACTGAAGACTGAAGTCTCTTGACAATGCAAGTCCTCTCCTTGCCTTCGACAATCAAGACACCAGCAGAGTGGTAGACTGAGATATATCAATGCAGCAGAGGCTCACCAGCACTTCCTTGGTGTGTCCACGCCTATACTACTTACCTACTCACCTACACACTCTAGACTACTACCTCTCACTCTCTCTCGATTCTCCTCTCGTCAGATGACACTGAAGAGTCTGATCCATTGCTACGCCGGACCCGGACCTCCCCGGACATGGAACCGGACACATCTTCGGACCGGTTTGGATGTGAGAGGTAGTTTCTACCGCTGCAGTTTCTACTGCTGCTGTTTCCACCGCTGCAGTTTCTACAGCTTCGGTTTTCACTCCGACAGTTTCTGCTACGGAAGTTGCCTCTGCTGCAGTTCCTGCCGTAACTTCCTCTGCTGTTGCGGCTGGAATTCCCCGTGCTATACTTTTTGCTGCTACAGCTTCCTCTGCCCCAGCTCCAGCACAAAGAAGCTCACAGTCTCTCTGACACTCGAGTCCTATGTGTTAAAATATTGCCCAATCCACCCCCCTTTCATCCCTTTCTGTGCTTGGCCGAGGATGGCTGCGGTCCTCCTCGCCACCCCCATCCCCTTCACGGTCTCGTTTGAGAACAAATTCTCCAGCTTCCATCGTTCCCGTTGTTCCGCGTTCATTGCCAGGGACATCCTCATCTTCTGTCTGCAACACCACCCGACCTCTTATTGTGTATCGTCGACGACATCCGCGACATCGTCACTTGTCCACGGATCAGCAGCCTGTTTCTTTGTCTACCCCAATTCTCTCTGTGCCTGCTCCACAGGTTGTTGCGGTTCCTTTGTTCCAGATGGCCACATCTGCTCCTATGCCTCCTGCATACAGTCCGGCTGCCTGCAGGCACCCACAGCACCTTGTTTTATGCCCTTCCGCGCTAAAAGATCCACGACCCGCCTGTACAACAGGATGTGGTCCCTAACCAGAGTATACTCCCAACTCTCCGGGGATAGTCCCTACTCAGGATGCGTCCCAGAACGCTGAGGGATTGGAACATGATCTGCCCGGATTGCAGTTGACCCCACAAGGCGTAGACCACATGGGGGATCTGCAAATGGCTGACCAGCATTGCTCGGATGAACCGCAAATTTCTGCCCCGCCACGTGCAGACCACATGGGTGTACAAATGACTGACCAGCAAACAATCCAAGACAGTTTGGGCTTGCAACACCATCTGGGTGATCTGCAAATTGTTGGCCAGCATGCAACTCACCAGCCTGAGAACCTCAGCAATCTCTGTGGTCTGAGGGCAACTGATATCTGCCTTCACATTCTCCACCGCCCGTTTTATACACCGTCAAACTTCCTTGCAATCGCCCTTCAGCTTGATGCTGATCTTCCCCAACTACAGCCAGAGGATTGTAATTATACTACCTTCTTCCCTCGAATACAACGTACGGTCATTATTGCTGTATTTGAGGCATCTTTCAGTCTAGATACAGCTATAATGACCGTACGTTGTATTCGGGGGAAGAAGGTAGGGAAGGAGGCTTTACCATTGCTGTACTGCAAGTAGCAATGAGGGAGCGTCAACTTGAACCGCGCAATGCTCGAGCAGGTGAGTGGTTTAATCCTCCATCCCACATCTCTGCCTGCATTGTGCACGAACCTGGCCATAATATTGGCCATTGTACATGCCTCTGACCACTGGGAGCTGTGGGACAACGGCACCATGGTCCATGCCATGACTGATGTCACTGATTTCTTACGTAATGATGCTGTTTTCTTGCCGCAACAAACTGTCCGCGATCTCTTTTATGTCGAAGACCATTCCTCTGGCCCTGTGCTGCAGCAAGACAATGCACCGACACTCTGTGACCTTCCCCTTTGCACGGCTAACAAACACTGTTTCACTCGGCTGTAGCCGCCATCGTCTCTGTGTCACAATCGCTACAATGACATGGTTTCTGCATGCATGTGTGCAGAGGACTGTCCCTCCGTTCCTGACTGCAGGCAACCTTCGCATCCGGACACTCTATGTCCATTTTGAGGCCATGGGCGCTATACTGAATGCATGGTCTTTTGTGGTGACCGTTCTTCCTTCATTTTGGCCCGCAATCGACATGCCATTTGTCGGGGGTGTATGGTGGGCATGCTCAATGCCAGCCGTCGTGACAATGTTGTACTGAGAATGCTCAGCTAGCTAGGTCTTCCATGTGTTATGTCCTCTCTGTCATCAAGGACAGACTCGTTCTTCAGCCTTTTCTTATCCTCTTTTGCCTTCATTTTCACTCCACACTCCGTACTTTCCCTTACTTTCCCGTTATCATTATTTGTTTGTCTTCTCTCCATCTCTCTTCCCTGTGTTTATCCTCTCCCCCTTCCCTCCGCCTCTTTCCCACAGCGTACAAGTGGGCCATTATGGCACATGGGGATGGGCGCAGCTCACACTCAACTTCATCAACGTGGCGAGCCTTGTACGTGAGAGGCACAGTGAAGGGGGAGTTAAAAGAAGAATGATAAATTGAATGGTTTCATTGTACCCTTGTTTTTTTTGTTTTTTATCCTTTCTTTCGCAAATTGCGCTCTTTTAGTTCATAGTTACCGGCAGCTCTGTTTGACGATATATGTATGATGAGTCAGCGAGTGAAACTCTGCCGAAACAGTTTGTCACAGCCTCCTCCTCGTTTGTTGTCCACTTCTCCCTCCCTCCCTCTCTTCCTACGGTTTACCGTCGGCAGCTCTGTTTGATGATATATACGTATGTATATATTTTGACGATATATATGCGGTCTCGACGTGTTATTTGATTCAATCGAACAAGGAAGACGTGTTGTACAAGACTTGGAGGGAGAGGGGGGGTGGAGGGGGTGGAGGGGGTTGAGGGGGTGGAGGGAAGAGTGGGCTCTGAATGTTATGGAAATTGAACCAGGAAGAGCTGTGCAGTGTGTACCATTTGCTTCGATATGGGATGGCGGGCAGCATTGAGTGAGAGGGGGAAGTCCAGGATGTTGTAGAGGCTAGCCACCAGGCGTATGACAGTCCCTTCAGCAGTTTTCGGCCATTCGATCTCGGCGTGAACTCTCAATATAAAAATATATGCCTTTAACCACTTGCAGTACTTCCTAAAGTCGTGCCCATTGATGCTCCCCACCAATAGACGGAGCCTCTCCCCAGGTGCTAGTGGTGTCTGCTCTTATCAGCACCACTATCACCGAAGGGGGTGCCTTTTCAAAAAAAAAGTTAACGCGCCACAATTTTAGGAAACGTACGGGACACTACAGGAGCGCCCAAATTCATCCGACCAGAAACGTTTCTACTCTTTTTTTTTTTTTTTTTTTTTTCGTCCGCGGCCGACAGCTGGGCAATTGAGCAGATAGAGGTGTGGAATACTGTGTATTCATTCAGCTAACAGTGAGACATTGTTTGGGCCTGGGTTTGGTTTCCTTTTTGTGCAGGAAGAAATGTCCCGTGGCCAGTACCGGGAGCGCCTTTTTTTTCCTGTGTGATGGCTGAGGAAGAGACAATGCATTTGGCCACTTTCTTGGCGTGAATGACTGCATCTGGACTCCCTCCCAGTACACATGCGGTTCAGATAATCGGACAAATTCGTATAACGGGAAGACGAAGATGTCGTAACCGAGAGCCGATGGATGGCGATTCGGAAGCCGGTGTTGACAACAACACATTTACCTGCCAAGGCGGAAGGAGGTAGCTGTCGTTGGTAAAAGCACCCCACCCTGATAACGAATGTATACAAGCGGTCTTTCCAGTTCTCGGTTCAGCCATAAATTATATGGCCGTGCTTGCTGTCTTCAAGGGAAGGCATGAGGGTGCACATACATACATAATGTAGGGGTAGGGGTGTTCGAGGTATGAGGTGGTTCCTCAGGTCCACGGGACATTCTCCGTCCCGAAAGATGTTTTGGGCCCGATCCGGAAGACATTTGGGGTCATGGAACGCTGATCTGGCCATTTTTCGCCCGAAAGATATTTTGGGCCCGATCCAGAAGACATTTGGGTTCATGGAACGCTGATCCGGAAGACATTTGGGGTCATGGAACGCTGATCTGGCCATTAGCCGAACAGACGGAAGACGGTCTATCCTGCGGGTGCACAATTTTTTATGAAGGCCGCAGCAAAAAAAAAACAGTTGACAGGATCTCAATCTCCGGAAGCTTTTCGCTTCTAGCTTTGAGGTTTTGTACCAGCCTCCAGAAGCGTTGAGGGCGTAGTACTCACGCTAGCGCTAT